TCGTATAATTGTATAATGTTATTATTCCTGAGTTAATGAAATTAATTACAAACTATTATAATAAACCCTGGACTTGAGATAATAATTAAACTGGATAATTGGAAATAATATTTAAAGTTGATGAAATTAAAAGATGATTAATGGATGAATATTAATATTAGAGATAATGATGAACTTGGAAAGATATTGGAATAAAAACGAATGAAAGGTCTGATTCCCTTTCTAAAATAACTGAATCAGTGGTGCCTTCTAAAATAATGAAACAACAGTCTTACCTTCGGGAAAGGACTATAAACTCCTTAAAAGAACCGTCAAGTCACTCCAATAGGTGGTTCTTGAGAAAACTAAGGACCACTGGTGACAACATACTGAATTTTTATATTATGACTGAGTAATAAATTCTTATACTTGTCTATATATTCAGTATTCCTATTACTAATAAAAGTTTTTGGATAGTTAAAAGGACAGTTTGGATCATTATAAATTTTTTGAATTGCCTTAGCCATTTTAGTAAATATTTTATCAATTAAAGCAAAACTACATTGAAACCTAGTAGCTATATCTTTAATTATACCCCTATACTTATAAATTCATTTATCTACTTTATCATAAGGTATAAGTATAGTATTAGACTGATGTACTTTATTTAAATCTTGTATACAGTGGCTTCCAAAATAAATGCACCAGTGTAAAATAAATTAATTTTAATAAAATATTTAAATTTTTTATTATATTTTACCTATAGAAAATATATTTTTTTAATAAATTAGTCTCAAATTGTATGCCGTAAATCATTATCACCTGATGTGAATGATGATTGGCTAATTGATTAACAATGATAAAAAAAAATATGGTGCGTTTATTTTGGCATTTTTTTTTTCAACGAAAGACTTCTAAATAAAGTTTTTTTTTTAAATAATAACCACCAAAAACTCAAATAAGAAAAAATATTTCTTACATTACATTCATTCAACTTGCCTATAAAAATCTACTCGTTTTATTATAAATAATACAATTAATCCTTGAACAACGACAATATGTGATTGCTTTACTCCAAGCAGGATTTACCTCAAGAGAAATTGCCAAAAGGTTAGGAAATGTTCACCATACCTTGATTTTACGATTAAAAAAGAAGTATAAAGAAACAGGAAAAGTTAAAAATAAAGAAGGTCAAGGATGAAAATGGATTTTATGTGAGAGAAATAAATGAACACTTATACACTGAATCATGACTAATGAAGCATCAACAACCGTTGCACTACAAAAATCATTAAAAATATATGAAAATATTAATGTTAGTGCTAATACTATTCATAGGGCATTAAAAAAAAATGGAATGGTAGCAAGAGTTAAGTGTAAAAAGCTTCTACTCTCCAAAATCCATCGTCAAAAACGTCTCGCCTTCGCGAAAAAATATAAACACTGGACTGTTGATGATTGGAAGCAGGTAATTTGGTCTGATGAATCCAAGTTTCAA